CGTGTGAAAGCCTGTGTCAGCAGGGGGGACCCTCCGGAGGCCTTTGCCGCCACCATCTGAGGCCACTCGGAGGTCCCCCGCCACCACCGATAGTGCCTCCAAAGCACTATCGGCGGTGGGGGACCTCCGAGAGGCCTCAATGGCGGCAGCAAAGGCCTCCGGAGGGCCACCGCTGCTGGGAGCCGAGCTGTGCTGGGCAATCCTGGCCATGCTCAGACTCCTGGACTTCCCCCGCTGGCACTGCTGTCCGAGCGCGGCGCGGCTCGGTTCCCAGCAGCGGCGACGGCAGCGGGAGACCTCCGGATGCCTTTCAGGGCTTCTCCGCTGCCACGGGAGGCATCTCGGAGGTCCTCCCGGCGCCAATCATGCCTCTGAAGCACGATCGGCGGTGGCAGGAGACCTCCAAGATGCCTCCCATGGCGGCAGAGAAGCCTTGGAAGGCATCCGGAGGCACGATCGGCAGCCTACAGACTGGAAGGGGGGGGGGGGGGGGGGGCCGAAACGAGCACCAAATTCGAATTTGGCGCTTTCCCTGCCTCCCCCTTCCCGTCCCTAGGTCAATTTTCCAGCCACAAATCAATTGGAAATCTTGCGGCCGGAGAAGTCCGGACCTCGAAAAGTATGCACATGGCTATACATACGTTGAGGGTCCACTGTATTTTCGTGACTGGCGCATATGCTCTCGAAGTTCTATGTCCCAGGTTCTTTGTTTGAGGGCTGCTTTAGCACCTACATGCCCCATTGCCAAAAGAACATTGGTGGAAAATCCCACTTACCTTATTTCTCTTGTAAGTTGTAGTTTCCATTATGATTGAAAGGAGTCAAAAAGTGACACCCGTGCCAAGCCTTCTGAAGAGAAGAAAAACTTTAGCCAGTAATTAAACATATGGACTTTGGCGCTTGCTCTTATGGCGATTAAGCCAGCCTCCAAACAAAGGGCTACATTAGGTGTACAGGTGGATACAGTCAGAATACTGTAGATCTCAAAAATTTGGTTTGAACTACCTCAAGAGGATGTAGGTCAAATAAAGCAAACAAATGGCACCCGTAGAGCATTTGAGCACTGCTTTATCCTGTACCTCTTTTCCAGCAGATGGGAAATCATTGGTGTAGAGATGCAGTGGAATGAAGTTTGGAATGCACATTTGCATCCTAATAATTCATTGGAAACTCATACATCTGCTCAACCCTGACATATGCATTTACAGGTGGGGAGGAAATCTGCAAAATAAATTGTAATGCAGTTTCTAAAGTTGTCTGAGTTAGTTCTGAGTGTTGTGCTTCAGTACAAAACTTTCACTGTCTGAAAAGAGGCTTCTCTTAAGCAGTGATAGTGAACAAGGAAGCACATGTCTATAATATTGCTGTCTCTAGGTGCCTGGGAGGAACTTTCTTGTGGGGGCCTCTTAAATGACTAGTGCTATCAGACTCTGAAGGTATCATAATATACATATGGTACAGGTATTAATTTTTCTGCATTTTTCCAACTGCATACTTATCAATTTTCAACTGTATTTTTTCTAACTTCATATTTTGTGTCCAGCTGCACATTTTTAAAAAACAAACTTTCTCCAGATCCTTTTGAACTCCCAGCACCCCTCATTTTTAGCTATTCTGACTACAACTAGTATACCCACCCTAGAGAGTTACTTTTTCAATTCATCACAGAATTATAGGCCCACTACTACATACTTACATTTTTAAGTATACTCAACTGTTCCTAATTCCTTCTCCCGCCCCGTCCAC